GACAGGACCCTCAAAAATTACAAAATACCTTCGAGAAATTAATGCTTTTTCAATTCAGGCCTTCGCTTCCAAGTGTTCGTCAACATCGAGGAGTACATGCCCACCACCGAAGCCGCCGGCGTTCGCTTGACGGTACAAAAAAAACGCTTCAAACGCTCGAAAGCTCGCTTCAGGTCCATTCCGCCAGCGAGCAACCGTTTCCGGACACGCTGGGCTATTCGGCGCCCACCGGATTCGTGTCAAGCTTCGGGATACGCATGGTACGCTTTTTCGCCGAGTTCCAGTATAAAAATATCTTTAAAACCCTAAAATTCTTCTAAAAACGAAGACAGAAAATCTAGAAACACATCACAAGACTGCCGTGGCCGTACGGGGATTGCGTGCAGGACGGGAAGGACAAGAATTTCATCTACCAGACCAAGGAATATTCCACCGAGGTGGGCAGCTAGAACGACAGAGTATTTCGAAATGAAAAAGGTTAATATTAATAAAAATTACTTTTTTAAGGGTTGCCAACGCAGCTGCGTGCAGCAACACTTTGTGCGCCGATGCGGGTGCGGCGACCCGCGCTATCCGCCCTGGCAAAACGTCAGCTCATGTCCGGTGGATGACGAGCAAAAGCGTGAGGGTTTATCAAAGCGCAACTACAAATTAGAGTCTATGTTTAGTAAAATAACTACAAACGACTAAGTTTAGTAAAATCTTAAAAACAACCTTTTATTCCCATCAATTTCCAGGGAAATGCCTGAAGCGTGAGACCGAATACGCGGCCAAGCACATCGACCGGCTCAATTGCCCAAAGTGCCGGCAACCGTGCAGGTATAAAAATACCAAAATTAGGTTGGCGCAATACGTAAAAAAGCTCGATTTAGCAAATAAGCTTAATTGAACGGGAAGTTCACGCATAAAATGGGCGAAAAACCTAGCGCCGAAAACCACGTAAACGTGCAGACAGGCATGGCATGCGTGCAAGGCAGCGCCAAAAAATCAAACCCACTAAGGATCCCGGGACATTAAATAGAGAAATACCTTTTGTTATAAACGTATTATTAAAGCTAATTATAGCCAGAAAGTCTTCTCCATTTCCTATTCGGCTTCGCGATGGCCAGCGACGCCATCGGATCGAGATGATTGCCCAAAGGCCAGTTTTACCCTAGTAAAAGTCCTTCTAAAAATCTAAAAACAAAAAGTACCAAATTTTAGGGCCTGAACCAACAGCAATGCCTAAACTATTTGCGCGAGCAGGGCGCAATGATTGAGGTGAGAAAAGGATTCTTTTTCTTTTATTTTTCTTTCATTGCCTATTCCCTAAAATCCACCAAAGAAACCCTCAAAATTCAGGTGTTTTTCGAGCAGCTCAACTACGAGGCCCTCCAGGAATCCGAGGCGTACGGGGTAAATTTCCATTTTCAAAAACGCTAAAAAATCTATGTATAGTGGCCAAATCTGCTGTCCGATTTCGGCGGGCAGCTGGGGCTGTGGATGGGCGTGTCGGTGATCACAATCTCGGAGGTATAGGTTTAGATAGAAAGCTCTAAAAACCCTGTCAGGTGGGGCTGCTCTTCTTCGACATTCTGCTGTCGATCTGCGGCTGCTCGACGTCGGCGCGCCGGAAATTGAGGTAGGCTGGAAAACGTTGGCTTCAAAAGTTCACAGCAGTCAGCGTTCGACAACCGGCCATGTCTCTCGCTTTGCACGATCACCATCTCGCGTCGTCAATGGCGTAAGTCAAGGATTTCTATTCAAAAAGCACCATAAAGGGTGCTAGTTCATTAGCGGGGGGCTCACTTTTTCCTATCTGTCTCTAAGGAAATAGGCACCATTTAACAGAATTTACGTCTTTTTAGATACAAAAATGTTTGATAAAAATTGTTAAAACTCAGGGAAGTCCTTTTTGCTCAAATAGTCAAACATTTTAAATCGGGTTTCACATAGAATGTTTAAATAGTTCTTATAACTTAATAGCCGAAAACGACTAAAAAACTACAAAAATCGATTGTGTTTTATTATATTACCAGCGCCCAAAACCCGCTTCGCGGGCCTTGGGCGCTGGAATTGGGCCTTTGCATGAAAAATTTGACTTTCCGATAGCTCGGGTCCCTCAGGCCCCTTCCCCCACCGACCACACACGCGCGGGCAAATTGCAAGAATGAGGAAATTTGTATTTTTTCATATTATGCAAATTACCCTCAAAAATCAATAAAACCGGCTTTAACTTTGTAAACTTGTATTTTATCGAAATTCTGAAAACGCCATCGGAAAGAGGAGGGTCGATTCCCCCCAAGTGACAAAAAATCAGAGCATTTTATCCAGGGGGATGGCCCTTAAATCGGGCCTCGAAAGTGACATCCACACACACACAGAGATACACCCCAAAATTATATAAGGTAGGATCCTAGTTATGCTGAATACAGCAAGCCCCCCCTCCCCCGCTAACTAACCAGACCCATTCCAGAATGGACCAATCCCACCCTTGCTGCTACGAGATTTCCCACTCGACAACTAGCACCTAAAAAACTCAACAGAATAAATAATAAAACCTAAACTTTCAAATAATGTAATTTTTCCTAAAAAAAACACTAAATACGTTATGTCCGGTAGATTGATGTGTAAGTCTAATGTGACAAAGAAAATCTATTAAACTCAACAAAACAACAAAAATTCAAAAACAAACGCAAAGGTAACAACATTTAACAATCGCCTATTTTTGGCCATATTTCTTCAGCTTGAACACATCGCCGATGGGCGGCGGGATGGCGATGCCGACCGCCGAGAGCACGTCGGCTTTTTCTGAAAGCGATCGGATCAGGCGAGAAACTACAAAACGCACCACCAGCCGTCCGTCGCCATCCCAAATTCCAGCCGAGCAACAGGTCGCCGCGCATCGGCATATCGGCCTGGACGGCGCGCAAGGTTTTATCCTAAAAATCGAGTTTATCAATGGCTAAACAATGAATAGTAAAAAAAGGCTCTTTTGCACTATTGGCGGGAAAATTTTTTCTTAAAACAGTTTTTAAAATATAAAGAGCGGAAGTTTCTAAACTGTAGTTTACTATCCTAAACGTAAAAGTTTACAAAATATTCTTAAAACAATACAAAAATTATCGATTTTTCGACCAATAATGGCCATTCTTTTACCAAAATTTCGACTTTCTGGAAATTTTTCAAAGTTTTTCGATAGTTTTTGGAGTCAAAATATAGCTTTATTGACTAAAAACATTATGAAAATACTTCCTATTAAGTTACCAGACCTTTCTAAATTAATACAAAAAAATTTTTCCACACACCCCCCCCCGATAATGTAAAAGAACTTTAACCAATAATAATAAAAATTACCAAAAAAGATGGACTACGATCGTACCTTAATGACAATTATATTCCCGTGTCCATCGACCATAGCCACAGTATCCTGGGAGGCGTTCGTCGCCATCGATCTTGCGCCGCCAAACCCAGGGCTCAGCTCGCCGCGTGTGTATGTGGCTTCGAGTTTTGGCGGATGGCCGATGGAGAACTGGAATTACGGGTTACATAAGCGTTCGGTATTGGACTATTAGCGGGGGGCGGTTTCGCGGCGGAACCAAATGTTGGCTTTTTCGCCTACCTGTTGAAAGCTATAAAAATGCCTTAAAATTTTGAAAAGTCCAAAAATTGGCCTTTTTGGCCGGCTTTATACTTTTCCTAAGTTCTAAACGTTTTTAGATCTAAAAACTTTCTAAAATGTTATAAAAATTGTTTACATTTCGTTATAAGGCTGTACTGCGGAAAAATTTGGTTCCCTTCCCCCGCGTCCCCCCCCCCCGCTAACAGTTCAGTACCAAGCGTACGATCCCGAAATCCAATAGTACCTGACTGACGAGTCGTCGGTCGTCCGACTTGAGCGGCTGATGGGCAACGGTAAGAACGTTGGGGCGAGTGAGGACGATCGACTTTGGTATCGTCGCCTCCAGCTGGAAATTAGACGTTGAGGTTAATGAGAAATTGAGACTCACTCGAACGAGGCTCGAGGTGCCCTTCTCGAGGTCGACGACAAAAATTTGAGCCCGCGAGGTGAGGAGAGCGGCCGTGGAGCTACCCTCGAGGGAGACGATCGAAGTGACGATTCCGCATTTTTCTGGAATGAATTATTTTTATACAAACACAATCAATAAATTTAAGGAACTCTCGTATTATCGGGCTTTTCCCAAGTATCCATTTTTTCGGACGTAAAAATAAGTGTTTCTAAACTGTTTTATAATACACACTTAAAAAATACACAATATATAGATTTTTCGACCAAAATGGATGTTCACACAACATTTCAATTTTTTCGGGATAGCTTTTTCTGGTCGTTAAATGGCATTTCCGGCCCTGTAGGAAAACATTAGCCTCCCCCCGATATTGCAAAAGAGCCGATTTCAATACAATAATAATGCAAAACTACATCAGAATACAATAGTTTAATCCCCGTTTCTTGATTACAAAACGCTACCTTGCACTAAAACTTCATTGCCCGCATCTGCGCCGACCAGCATGTATTGCATCAATTTGAAGTCCCCGGTGCAGACGAGTATCGAGTTTTCGTGGAACTAAATTCTAGGTTAAAAAATGGGAAACTATTTACCGCTATGGCCGTGGCGGCCGGGAAGGTGACGGGCAGAATTTTGATGGGCTGCGTCTTCGAGTCACTCAACGAGTAGACGTGCGTCCGTTCCCCGGTGGAAATGGCCAGTTTTGAGCCGCGGGACGAGAGGGCTCTAAAATCGTACGTTTAATTTTAAAAAAATTAGTTCAACGATTAATTAACTATGTCTAGAAAATTTGCAAAAAAAACCCACGAGCAAGTGACAATCTGCGATCCTTTTGCCAGCACCCTGGCCAACAAAACCGGCTCCTCTGCGACAAAAATATCCTCGAATAACTGCAATAAAAAAAAATAGTAAAATGCGTTGAAATCCTCACATTCACATTTTCACTAGAAACTTGATGGGACGCCCAAAGATCCACATAATTCGAGCCACAAACCGCCGTGAACGAGCCGCCGGTGTGCACGATCGGCTGAAACGGAATTTTGGCTCAAAGAATCCGAACTTACTGTCAAGTCTATTGCCATCTTCTCGAGAACCTGCTTTTTCCGGGCGAATATGTGTTGCACCTCGTAGACGAGGCTGTCGTTTCCACCGACAAACAACTGCAACGAGTTCAAGTTTTTGGGGGATAAATGTACCGATGTTCCGGAGACGGTCAACGCTTTGACGTCCCCTTCGGCGCCGGTGATCACAGACACGGATTCCCAGCTGTTAACATTCTAAAAAAAATACAATAAACAAAGCTAGATATTTCCGTTGATCAAATTTATCCAGCTAAAACAAACCTTATTCTCCAATACAGTGATTCTCGGGTCAACGCCAGTAGCCAGCACCTAAACCTGTGCTTTAAAAAAAAAACGAGGTGTCAACCTGCGGGTGTGCGTCCTTTCCGGCCAACGGCACCAATACGAGAACGTCAGCCTGATGATTTTTGATCGCCTGCAAAAAAATACAACGTAAAAACCAAGGGACATACCTTGAGCAAAACACCGTTCTTGGCATTGTAGAATGTGATGAAGCCTCTCGAATCGCCGGCAACGAGCGTGGGACCAGCGTACGACTAAATATACAATTTTTAAAGACAAATTAAGCACACACCTGACTGAACGTGAGAGCCCAAACGATCGTCGGCAGCTGACGATCGGCTCTTTCCACCTAAATCGGGAATTATTTTGCAGTTTTGGCCAATGATACCTGGATCTCGTAGAGTGACTTCCCCTGCAGGTCCACAACAAAAATAAGCCCGTTGGCACCGACAGCAATCTGGAAAAGAAAGAATGAGATATTCCAAAAAAGCCAGGACCTTGTCTCCCATCGACGCGACGCTAAACAAGCGCTGGTCCACGCCCAAGTTTTTCCGCCGCACAACCTAAATTGTGATTCCCAGGAAAAGGCCTGAGAAGCAACCTCATTGCTCGAAATGTCGAAAATAAACAGCTGGGCCGAGTTTGACACGAAAGCACACAAATTAGGCGTCTCCAAGGCGCACACTGACCAAAGTGAGCTCGAGCAGAGTTGATTTGACTAGAAAAAAAAATTTGACGGGAATCGATTGAAAGCCCTTACAACAATTTCTGTGGAATGTGGGTTGATGATGGAGACCGAGCCGGAAAAGTGGCCGACGACGAGGAAGTCGCCCACCCAGCAGAGGCACTCGATTGGGCCTCGGCCTGGGCTGTGGATCTGAAGAAGTTATCTTATCTCTTTTCATGGGTGTGCTAAAATGATAGGGGGAATGAAGTTTTTGGCCGTTTTCTCGATCGACTTGAATGTACGTATAAAACCGAATAATAAGCTTTGTAGTCCGGAAACTGCACATCTGTTGGTCTACTTGAAATACTTCTACGATACAGGATAGCGTTTTTTTGACGCGATTGAATAAAGATAAAAAACCCAAGTGTTTTACTTTCAAAGAAAAACACCAACCATTTCGAGTGTTCTAACGCCGCTTCCAAGGACGTTGTACTGCTCGATGACATCGTCGCCGTTTGGCGAGGGCTCATCTGCTGTCTTTTCCACCTAAAAAAGGAAAGATCAAGATCACGATCTCTTCCAAACCCTTCGAACGACGGCCAATTTGCCTAGGGCGCTTGCCGCCAACCCGTACACGCCACGAGGGCCGAGCCGCACGTCCCGCCGCACTTCTAGTAACAACTCGTGCTCCATACACTATAAAAAAGCGGTCCATTCTCCTGCCCGTCATCGCCTTTAACCAAATATCAGCCACCAAACTGTTGATCGTGCCTTTCTTCGCATAGCCAGTCGAAAACTCATTTATTACAGTCACACTCACCATAAATAATCGTGGGGGCTTGATTATCAAGGGGGGAAATCACAGAACGAGCCAATAAATAGCGATTTTTAGCAAATTTGAAAACAGGAATTTGAGTAGTAGGACTGGCCAATGTGTGTGAAAGTTATCAACGTGTACATACAGAAGGCGATTGTAATTGGGCAAAAATGGAACAAGGCGAGTGAATACTTGAGGTGTTGCGTGTGTGGGATATCGGGTAAAGCGACCAATTTGAGGGAAAGAATTCGGGTTACAGGTCCGTGTCGTACCAGCCGCCGTCCGAGCCGATCGGGTGGCCAACCATGCTGCCGGGGCGGTACATCTCGCTGAACAGCTCGGGCTCCATGCCGTCTCGCTGCCAGCCGGATGACGCCTCCATGTCGAGTTCTTGTCTATAATTCAAAGCTTTTCGTCTTTAGATCAGAAGCGTACCGATATTGCGGAGGGCGATCGGATTCGAGCCGTTTCAGGATCCCCGACGCGTATGTGGCAACGGAGCGGTGTTGCCTCCGTAGACAGTCAGTCAGAATCGGCATGAAACCGGCTTCATCAATCGCGCTCGCTCCATCGCTGTTTTGGGCTATTTGGTAGAGGAGGCCGAGCAATTCTCGTTCCAGAACCTAAAAAACCCAATTTTTTTTTATCGCAAATATTCACCTCGTCATCGGACTGCGAGACGTAAGGGTCCCTGAGCAGCTCGTAGGTCAGTATCAAGGCCTCGGTCTGGTGCACCAAATCCATCGCAACCTAGAGATACAAAGTTCTTCGACTTCCAGAACGTTTCTTACCTGTTTGTCGGTGGCAAGCTGGTGGAGGGCCGAGACAGCCCCCTCAACGACGCCCCACATCGGGACGCCGTCCGTTTCGGCATTCGGGTCCTCGCGTAATTTGTTGACGGCCAGGATCCAGACTTCCATAGCCAGCGATACCACGGTCTTGCCGGTCGAGGACGTCTCCTAAATTTTGCATTTCCAGTTTATCAAAGATTTCTTGCCTGCGTCAACTCGATGAGGTTATCCTGGAGCAGAGCAGAATTCCTAACAACGCCCAGCGCAGCCTTTACGACCGGGGCGCGAAGGGTTGAGAGCAGGATGATGAGCTGCGGGAACGCGTTCGACAAACTAAACAAAAAAAAGTTATGAAAACAATGCCGAAATTACCGCAAATCAAGCTGGGCCTGTTCAGCGAATTGATGCCGCGCCGTGCAGTGCCTCAACGCGCACAACGCCGGCTCTGTCGCTTCTTCGACGTCGGGGAATCGCCGGAGGCAATCGACCAACGCGGCGATGCCACCGTCCGAGCATACGGTTTGCTTATTCCGGATGTTGTTGCACGTCAAATTCGACAGGATGCCGCACGCGCAGGCGACATGTTGCGCGTCTTCGGAGGCACGGACGACGCCGAGTAGGCGTTTTACCTAAATAAGGGATTGTAGAAAAACCGCTGGTTCATTACCGGGGGGAGACTTATAAAAAAAACTTTTCGGGCATCACTTTTCCCCTTATAATGAAAAATAGGTCCTGAAAACGTGAATGTAAACATGATAGTACGTTTAAATCGCACCCGCCCCGCTAACTCACCAGAACCGTAAAAACCCCAAAATCCTACCAGCTGCGACAGATTCTCCTCGTTCGTGGCAGCCTCACTGAGGTTCCGCATCGATACGAGAATCGCCAGTTGCGTTCTCGCGTCGTTTGTTTGGCAGAGGATTCGGTGTAGGGACTGTAGACAGCCTAGGGAGATCAGCGCCGCCTTGTTCTGCGGGCACACGCTCAGCGATTTTATGCACCTAAAAATACCAATAAATTGGATTTATATACAGACATACCTGAGAACCGTGTAGATCAACTTTGGCTGATCCTCATATCGATTTAGCAATTCGACAAGGGTCTGCGGGCCGCCGAGGGAGAGGAAAACCGTTCTAAAAGTGTGGTGAAAAAATACTTTACAAATTTTTACTGACTTGCTGTGGGAATGCTCGTGCAGTAGAGTATACAACGAGTCGGCAACGTGAGCAAGCATTCGGGGGTCGGTTCTGAAAAAGTTACCGTTTCCAAATCCATAATTGTACATACTTCCTCCATTTATGTAGAATCCAAAAACAACCTTCCAAATATTACCTCAAAAGTAGTGGTGACAATGCTTGTACTGCTCCGAGGGCACGGGCCTGTTCTTTGACGGCGTCAAGGTGGAGGAGAAGATTTCGCAAAGTCGCCACGGCGTACCGAACCACGACCTACAAAATGATGTAGTTTAAAAAAAACTAAGTATTAAAATACCTCCACAGGACAATACAACATCCGGATGAGTTCCGCCAGTCCACCGGACCGGAAGAGATGCATTCGACCAGTCGGATTTTCCGAGATTTTCGTCAAGGCGCCCATGGCGCTGCGTTTGATGGCGACATTGTCGGATCTGAAAGGCAAAATTAAATCCAAAATTGAAAAACTGTTTTAAAAAACATTTACTTGACCCAAAAATCCACCGATAAATCAGCGAAATCAGTTTCGACCCATAATTGCTCTTATAGAACTCCTCGCGCGAGATTAGGTTGAAGAAAAATAGTTCTTTGTCTGCCGAATTCGGATTTTGCGTTGGCATTTTTTTCGAGAAAATGCAATCTGGGGTAGCGGTAGCCGGGGCTTCTTCCCTGGATGGAAGCGGTCTGTTTGCGTGACGCTGCCGGGCCTTTAGGGGGGCGAGAAAAGATGGCAGCGAGCCGTATCCGATTACCGCTGGCTTCAATGGGCCAATGTCGAAAAATCAAGAAAATTTCCGATGTACAACTTTAAGCGTTAGACGAGAAAAATGAGCCGACCTTGACACTTCGACCAATTTCGCCACGAGATTCGCATTCTCGCTCGTCGACTGGTTTTCCTTGCAGAGAATGTAGACTCGTTGGACGGCGCGCACGACGATGCTCTGAAGGTGTAATTGAGAATCCGATTGAACGAAGCCGCACCGGATCCGAGTCGCTCATCAACGCTATCAGATCGTGTATAGAATGCATCGTCATGTCGTCGAGCGACATCTAAAACGGCCCGTGTGTGTCAGCCGAAACAAAAACATAAAACAAGCGCGCTCGGGCGGGAATGAATTTTGGGCGGCGGTGTAGCAGACATACCTGAATCGAGAGGAGCGCTTCGACGGCGGATCGCAAACGGCGGCTGTCGCCAGCGAGACGTTCGACCAGCAAAAGTCGTGACGCCTGTAAAGTTGGATTGTATAAAATTACTAGATCCTTAGTTTTTGGATCATTATAACGCCGCGTGATTATTTTCGAGCATTTCAGTGTCTGTTTATTAACCTAACTAATTCCAGGCCCACATATCTTACCGGTTGCTCCCCGTTGATATTTTCTTGCCCATTTTCTTCTGCAAATCCGGCCTCCCAGTCTCCGAACATGGCGCTGCGGATCCTGGCGGCACGCGTCGCCGAATATAGCCTTTCCGCATCTAAAAAATTATATTTATAAGGGCCGGAAAATAGTAAAACCGGCAAACTGAAAATTCGGCCTCAAAACAGGAAACCTCGGAGCATTACCTTGATGCTTCTGGTACAAATTTCTGATGTAATCCTGATCGGAGGACACGTGCATATTGTTGAAACGGTCGACGATGGGCCCACCCGGATCCCGCATTTCAACAAGTTAGCCGAATGCCGGATTTTGGCGTGGTTTAGCTGGCTGAAAATGAAGTTATTTTCTCAAAGCGCCTGGTTAGGTTTTCAATGGGAAGAACATACGAACGTAATTGCTACAAGTATAAAACAATGCTCTGGAAAACGTAAGCGATACATTATATCGGATAATCTCAAAAGAAATGCACGCGCGGATACTTGTGGAGGTCAGCGGAGGTCAAAATTTTAAGCTATTTCATGAACGACGCTAGTCCCTTTTTCAACATATAGAAAGTGCGGTTACTAAAACTATTAAAAAGTATTAATAAACGTTATAAAATGCGCGCGATACATTATATCGTCTAATCTCAAAAGGGATACACGCGCGGAGCGTGCGAAGTGAGGGGTATGCGTCGCGTTCCCAAGGATGAATCAGCCGCTCGAGTGGCTGGTCAGTCGTCCCGGCGGGGGTCGGGGTCATTCACAGGGTGCACTCCCAATGCTCCAAGCCCTCGGGGGAAACATTCGGCGTCTGTCTTGCCCTTTCTGTAAAGCTTGTTTCGAGGGTATCTATGCGTGGATGAAATCCTATGGCTATGTCAACGATTCTTCCCAGATATAACATTCATTCAATAACGGTTAGACGGAAATGGTAGCTTGGCAAGAAGCAAGTAACTCGAGGAGATACACACCAGTGAACAATTGCGCAATACAGGTCGCCAAGGCTCGGGATAGGGAGACACGTAGCAGAAAAACGGGGGTAACGATGAGACTATTTACAACGGTCAAATAGCACGAGATCGGCAATGAGGAGCTTCATCAGGATCAACAGTTACAACAAAGAATAAGAGCGATGTGTGCTAAGAGTAATAAGAGACTTGTTCACCACCATTTCACGTAGCTGGCCACCGACGATATCCAACCGTTGCGCTCGGCGTGTTCCTTGGGGACCAGCGTGCTGGACGGGTCGAAATTGGTGGGATGTTCGTCAAGGTAGTCCGGCAAGGGCATCACGTTCTTTTCGACGCGCTGCTCGCGCTCACTTGCGTACATCGCTGAAAAACCGGGTCTACTGGTCGAAAGTACAAAACATACCAAAACGCTCTTCCACACCATCAATCCTGACGACTTGCGACACGACCTCACAGCCGCAATCGAAGAACACCTCGCAAATCTCCTGGAAAGTTGTTGATCAGACGCAAGTTGGAGAGCCATACCTTCGGGGCCAATCGCCTGGGTGGTGAAAAAAGACGGCTCTGCCCTTTTCCATGTCAAAGTGGATGCTGATGAGACCCTTGCCGCGGTATTTCTCCAGGCTTACTGCTTTCACACGGGCACAAAGATCCTGAAAAAAAATCATGAGCAAATTTACCCCAGGGTATACCTCGTTAGCATCGTCCATCTCGAAGACCAGCTGGCGTCCCCGGCGTGCCAGGAAATTTCTCTTAGCAGGCTCATCACCGGAAGCTGCGGTAATGACAGTCCTGAAATTCGTGATTATCACGGATCTTTAAAATAGATTTTTTATTATCTAGACAGGCAGTTCTATGAAAAATATAGCCGCTAGGAGCAACGCTAAGGCAAAGTGTATAGCCGTAACCATAGCAACCTAGTTCCAAGCATCTCTTTTCGAGCGTTTCCCCTATATCGAAAATGGCCGATCCCGAAAATATTCTGTCAAAATCTGGGCTTTTCGTTGACGATCTGAATCGAATTCGATTGCTACGAACAGGCAAGTCGAATTGTATATTAAAAAAACCAGGGTTGAAAAGCCGCTTCGCGACTTTTCAACCCTGGCCCCGTCTGACCCTAGAATATTCTCGACTTTGCATGATTTTCCTGGATTCCGATCAGCAAAAAATGAAAAGCGTTTCCTCTTTCCCGTTATATAGGCGATCGCCACTTCCGGCGCATGCTAATTGATTCCTAACAAAGAGAGTCTCCAATCTTGCAACAAAAACTTAAATTTAACACCGAAAATAGGTGATTTTGTTAAATATCATATGCGTGCAGTCATCTCCTGACCATTACGCACCTAATGACGTATCGAACATACCCCTAAGTACCTCCCTTCTTGAGATACTACTGGAACACGGTGACGGAAGTTGTATGCAAAGTGGCACAGACACACACACAAACACTATTTTTTTATATATAGTAGGATAGCGCTGCAGAGGTTGCCGAAACATGCGGCGAGCTGAGCAGCGAGGGTAAAAATTTTGAGCAGCAACTTTCGCTATTCAAAGCTACAACCGAGTCTTTGATTGCCACGATGGAAGAAGTAAGCCCGGTTTTCCAGAAATCAATAATCTATTCAGCTGGCAACCATGGTCGAGACCGAAAAGCTACGCGCGATGGCCTCAAGAACCGCGTTGAAGAACGTGGACAAACGAAAGCTCAACGAGACTCAGCAAATGCAGGTCAGCTTGCTAATTTCATTCCGAAAAGGGTTCTAGATATTGATTCGGGAAAAGCAGGTTGAGCTCGAGCGGCTGCGAATTGAGCTTGAAGCAGCACAGAAAATGGAGCAAGAACAGCGCGATTACATACAGCAGTTCATTTCAAGCTAACAGTAACGACTACATTTCGATAAATTCGCTTTTTTGTAAAAATCTCATCAATTACCTCTTTGGAGGAAGGGTGCTTTGAATTCGGCTGCAAACAGTCATCAGATTCGCCGAATACGTCAGCGAGACAGACGCCTGGACCTCTTGAGCAGTAAAAAGGGATGGCAGGAAACCGGGGACGGTGCCGAGCAGCGCACAGTCTTCTTTGTTATCCGTCAACTGTCCGAGGATCTGAAATAAATTATTAGAAAAAAAATCAAAGATCTACAACCTGCAGCACATATTTCTGGATCGGCGGCCGCTCGTCCTTGGCCAAGTTGGCGAGCATCTCGAGAAGTGGAAAGTCCTAAAGTACAATATAACTGCTTCAAACGAAGAATTACTTTTAGGATGACGGCACGCTGCTCCCGGACACGGCAAAGACGAGAATATGCTGAGAGGGTCTTTCTCAGCTGCTCGGTTTCGGCGTCATATTTAGGGGCGGCTGGTTGTTCGGCCATTTAGCGGGTACTAAATCGTTTCAGTTTTTTGATGAAGGCGTATTCAAAAGGCAATAGAAAAAATCATAAATAGGTCTATCCATCAAATAAAAAAGAAAAGCTCGAAAAAAGAAAAATCAAAACCAAAAGTCGTTCGCGTGTTTTCCGCAACCATCCTTTTTACGTCATTGGCGTTCCCAGACGGAGCGCACGGAGCGCGAAAAACCAAATACTTCGAAATTTTTGGCGAGTTTCAAAATGGTAAGTTATTTTTTGCGTTTTCTGTTTTACCTACTTATATTTTCGCAACTTATTAACTTTTAATCATGATGCGCGGCAAAAGAAATGAATGGTAAACAGGTCCCACTATCGTTAACCGTCGATCTAGGGATTTAGACTAGTCTTTGAACTTTTGCAAAGAAAACAACTAGAAATCAGGGCAATTCTGTCAGCTAATATTGGCAAGTTTGCCCTTGGGGTTACCGGTGGGTTCAAATTCCCTCTACCGTTGTCAGCTGGGCACGGATGCTTGCGTACGGCATGGGCTCCCCCTCATTGGATGTATGGGATGCCTTGCGTAATAGAGCGACAACCCCATCGCCAGATCCCCCTTGATATCACTTTCCATTCACTCCATAAGAACGGCTGGAGTTACCTTTTTGGCAACTGACACCCGGGGCAGATGCCAAGGGGGTATCCTCATCGCCGTTACTATAACCACAGCTGGGATTAGGGCCATTGTTTCTAGAAGGGACAGTTTTGTCAGCTTGGAAAAAGTGAATCAGAACAGTACGAAAATCCAAGGTTGCCGGTGTTACGAGCTCAATCTCCAGCATATCTTTTTCTCATGATTTCTAGGATCTAGCCCATTATCCTCAGCTAACGAAAGATCAACAAGTAATTTCGCAAAAAGAGAGGAATTCTCGTGGCAACAAAAAGTGCTAAATTCCTTTCAAACTCTTAAAAATGCCACAGAATGCGGGAACAACAAAAAGTTGCTGGCTATTTAAAAACCTTAATAAACTCGGTACCATCCCAGATCACAGGTCAGGTCCACAGATTAATTTCAAGAAAGTGCAAATAGATCATAATACAGAAGTTATTTGCAAGCCGAAACCGCTAGAAACTAGATTTGTCCATTTTAATAAGGTGCCAGCAACTTTTGGTTGATCCCACATTCTGTGGCATTTTTAAGAGTTTGAAAGGAATTTAGCACTTTTGTTGCCACGAGAATCCCTCTCTTTGCGAAACCAAAAGCCCTTTTTTGAAAAGACTCTTTTTAGCCTTAGAGAGAATTTAGCCCTTTTTGCCTCAATCTTATTGTTAAGATCGTAAAATAAGCCAAGGAATACTCATTCAGATGAACCCTTTTACGCAAAACTTCAAAAAAATTTGCCTGCGGCGCTTTGTCACCGCACTAGAAACCATAAGGATCCACGGGGGCCAATCGGCAAAAACCACGCTTCGGGTGGGGTTCGAACTCGGGAGCCAATTCTTCCCAGTAGAGCGTGCTAACCACTAGGCCAACGGGGAGACTGGAGGCCTGTCTTGGGGGAGCTAGACCCGCCCGCCCTGGCTCGGGACTGGGGCCGCCAAAGGGGAGGGTGGCGCCCCGTATGGCGAAGGTTTAAAGTTATAATATCTCAGAGATGAAGCATTCTTTCGATGTAATTTCTTCTTTACTTTATCGGGCAGGTTCTAATGCATATTTGAGCAAAATTTCAGCCCAAACGGGCATCACTAACCCTTGTTTTGACCGCAATTTAGCTTTTAAACTTAAAAATTAAATATAAATTTTTTAAAAAGCTATTTTGAAAAAAACGCTTCTTCCTCACCTTCATTTACATCAAGTCGGTATATGTGGAAAATTTCAGCCCAAAAGGACCATGGGAAGGCACTTTTTGACGACTACAAAGGTTTTGCGTACATACAGACAGACATACAAACGCAGACCCCCCCCCTCGAAACGCAATTTAAATCGGCTGTTAAAATTCGAAATTTAACTTTTTTTTTCAAATTTTAAAAGCTTATGGTATGCAAAAAGTGTCGCCGGTTCCGATGGTGTCGTCAGTTTCGCGATCCGATGCTTCGTTCTTTTCTAAATCCGGAAAAGGACCCCAAAAGAGTCGTATGGGGGTACCTCAAACAAAGGGTTAGCGGGCTCCGCCCCGCTAAC